CACATGAGCTACCCACTTTTAAATATAGATTGAAAACTAATTTCTTTAGAACTGCTTTTGTGCTTAGTTTATCCTTCCCCTGCACCTTCGATTAGCACAGTTGGCTATGGACAGTACGAAAGAAGTTCAACATACATACATATTGAACAAATATGTTTGCACGTATTTTTCACGTTTGTTTTTCAGCCAAATAGGAAAAGAATAAGAGTGTACTTGCACAGCCCATTGCCAATCTGATGTTGGATGAGTGTCTCCCCACGATGTATGGGTTGTGGGGGTTATTTGCCCATACTTCACCACACTGGTTAGCGCATGTTGGAGGAAGGTGGAAAAGATGTCCATGTGAGCATAGAAGAAAACAATGCATTTTGCTCCATTGCCCTCTGCTGCCCCCCAACGTAGTCCTGTCGCCTGTAACACCTATTATGCATCGCAATTGCCTATACAAGCACTATCCAGCCTCAATGCTGTTTAGCTTACAAAATCTGACGTGATTGGCCACGGGGCAAGTGGTTTAGTCACACGAAGGATTGCAGTGATATAATCTCGCATCATCCGTCTGCTATGGGTTCATGTTCAGAAAGTGCAGAGTTCTCAAAAGGGTTGTCTAAGTCTGCAGTCCTGTCTGATTTTTTTGTAGCAGTGATTGATCTTGATCCACAAAAGTAAGCCATTATGAGCCAATAACATTGCGAATTAATAAAAGAAAACCTGTTTTCCTGCAAGCCTCACAATCTCCACTAGAGGGTAGAATGCATCTTGCTCATTAGGAGACGCATACAACTTCATAGGGCCAGCATAGCAGACATCAGTAGCCAAGCGTGTAAATAAATAAAATGTGTACAATGTTTAAAAATGTCAGCTCTTTAATTATCTGAACCCAGCAAGCGACACTATGTTTCAATAATCAGAAGTGGAACTAAACAAGTAATTAAACTGTATTACCACATCATGAGACCTCCTTTGCCAGTACCAAAATATGAGAATAGATTTTCCCCTTTTTTTCTCGCAACAAAACAGCTGTGTTAAGATGCTAAAACACCAAACTGAAACCTTTTTACAAGAATCATGTCTGCATTAACCACAATACTTGTGGTCAGAATGCAAACAGCCCGAGCTCTCATTACTCTGATAGTGGCATTGTCTTTGTGCTGTACGCCTTTTGGCGTCCTCTGGTCTAACACCGTTTTGAGACTACGCTCAAAAGAAAGATGTCACTGGTGTGGACCAATCAATTTCAAAGACTGCAATATTATCAGAGTACGTTTTTTCTTTGCATTCTGACCACAAGTATTGTGGTTAATGCAGACATGATTCCTTGTAAAATGTTTCAGTTTGGTGTTTAAACATCTTAACACAACTGTTTTGATGCCAGAATAAAGGGGAAAACCTATTCTCATTTATTATCACAGTTCACATGTTACTCTATGAGATCTCTTTTTACCAGTGGCAAAATAGCAGTAGGTTTTTACCCTTTTAAAACTGGTACAAAACTGACACCTTTATTTGTACCAGTTTAAAGGGTACCAGTTTAAAAGGGTAAAAACCTACTACTATAGTTCACGTGTTACTCAATTACACAAGGCGAATTATAAAACGACTCAATCACGAGCTCAAAAATGTACTTTTTAAATTACACTCTGCTCCATGCACAGATGAAACTTTAAAGTACATTCGTGGGCATTGTACCAATCATTTCAGTGTAGCATTTAGCCTCAGATGCGAATTAGGTTTCTCTGCAGTGCCGAGTGAAAAACTGAGCTGAGTTTGTAAACTGACAGCCTCTGCCTTATACCATAGATCTCTTCGGTACAAAGGTGACCTCTGCTAATAAAGAGACCGACATAACTGTGAGTAGCTTTCATTAAAACTCAACAAAAATAATTATACAAAGCTCCCTCACCTTGAGGAAGGTGAATGTAGTAAACTAGAATGTTTTGGATGGGTTAAAGTGCAGGGAATTGTGACACTATTTGATCAACACACACACACACACCTTCTGAATGTCCGCATCGTGCTTCTGCTGAAGTTTTAGCTTCTCCTCCTGAAACATGACCTCCAGAAGTTTGGTCCTCACCTCCAGCTAAACAGGACAAAAATAGCAAACAAATTAAACAAAACAAGGTACAAGGTTAAATGGGCAAAACACACTGACGGCCACTTGTTTCTCAATATAGTAGATGTAGAAGTAGTTTGCCAGCTCCGCAGCACCACATATTGAAGTTTAACGGAGATGTTTGACATTTTCAGCCATGCAGGCTGTATTGTATGTGGGTGCTTGCACTTGTATAGAGATATGCACAATAGTAGAAAGCCTTTTAAACGTGGCAAAAAAAACCTTTTACTTGCAGGCCTTCCCCAAAGTCTGTCTTGTGAAGGCTACTTGGCTTGAAGCATCATCTCTTTTACCAACTTTATTACCTTATACATACACAGTGAAAATTTATGGGGAGTTACTGACTTATTTTTCTAAAGGACCATAAATCCCTTCTGTGTCTTTCCAACCAAAATAGCCTGTCCACCGAGGCACAGACTGAGCTACGTCCAGTGCCAGCAGGCGGCCTGGCCAAAGGGAGACATCAAAGAGATCTCTCAGGCTTTTGCTGTGGCAATGGCAGGCATAAATCAGCCTCGAACTGAGGGTGGTCACGGGAGGGATTTACATAGAAGCATTGTGTCCATGAACAAAATCCGCCCCTTGGACGGCACATTGAGCAGGGGAACGTTCACAGTGCTACTTCTGCACACGGCCAATGGGACAACGTATTCTCTTGTGCAAGCCCCCTGAGAATGAGGGGACCAGCACCATTGCAATCTCAGGAACTGGCCCTTTTCGGGGCTCAAGGGAGATGGCTGGGATGCTCGAGTAGAGTGCGCCAAGGAGGAGCCTGCCAGGACCACCCCTCAACATTCTGTCCAAGACCCAGCGTATAGTTTCTACTGGCTTTTCATAGAGCATGGTGACAATGGGCACAATGAAATATTAAGTTGACTGGGTTGCTCAGAAGGCTAATGCTATTGTTGTAGTCAGAGCACAGAGCCATCACTGCCAATGACCTAATGGACTGCACACAAAAACACCATTGTAATTTATCTTGGTCATTGCATTTATTTTTGGTAATAAACTAGCTTCAGAGAACATTATTTGGCAGACAGACACAAAGTGAAGCATGTACTCAACAACGCAGCTGCACAGACCACCATGTTGTGGTTGCATTTATCTTTGAGAACAAAGGCCTATGATGTCATTTCCCTGTCATCGTATGTGATGAGAGGCTGTGCTGATGTTGGGGCTTCCAGGATGGAAAGATATTTGCAGTACATGTATAATTAGACTAACTAAATGTGGGCATATCGACAATGCTGTATGTGCATTAGTGACTGGGGGTGACATCATTAACTTACCTACAATATCGTGTCACTACATCTCTATTATTTACCTTATATCTGTCATTCACTACATTTCCCTCGATTCTATCTCTCGCCTACCTGAATGTGCGTGCTACATGATTTTGCACGTCCACCGTCTGTCTCTCACATTTCACTTGGATGCATAAACAAATGTAACTATTCGGTTGAGCATTTGGATCCTGCCAGAAAACTAATTAAGGCAATCTGCAAAATGGCAGGAAAGAGCTATGAAGTGTAATGTTTCTGACTTATCGAGAAAAGTTAAACAAAGGCTAAATAATCTTTTTCAGGAGATTCCTGCAATGGAATGTTACGGGGTATTTTTACATGTGGGAGTTAACTCAAGTTCTTGGAAAAACCCTCACGTATAAGAGATAGTGTATAAAACTCCCGTGGTATATGTATAATAACTGGTGCTGAAATGTATTTGACTAGTGTGCACAAAAGTATTAGTTGTGCTCATCACCATGCATTTGTAAAGTGTTGCCTTTGTGTGTTGGCCGTTTAGGATTTAGACCACAAAGATTCTCAACTCAACAAGGGGGCATCTATTCCTGGCAACCGTTGAGAAAGGGATAATCCAGCAACTTTGGCACCACAGCCCTGGCAGCAGCGGATTGCGCTCATGAACAATTTTATGGGAAACTATAGAGCGACAATAATTAGCACATGCCAGGCCAATATTAGTGTTGCTCCCATATACAATTGTCAAAGGAACTGATGGGGCATTCAAGCTGGTGGACCTTGGACCCAAAGGCAAGTGAACTAAACAATAGTCCAGCCTCCCCATAATAATAACAATAACCACACATAATAACTTCATGATTAATATGAATCAAAGCAGAGCATTAATGTAAACAAGCGGCATGCGGCTGAACTAAATGAACCATTGCGAAAGAAAAAAAACAGCTCATGCGTGGCCTTCTGGCTAGGCATAAAATTATCCCATTTTGTTTACAAAGACGTTGAGCTTTCATCGCATTCCAGAACAGCACTTGATTATGAAGGCAATCACTTTTTATTAAATATGTCATTTCAGTCTCAATGGGATGGCTGCAATAGAGAAATTAAACAATTCCTGACACCGAGGCAAATTGTGCCAGACCCTGGCTGTGTCCCCGTGCGTTTCCTCTGAACCAAGGCACTTCAGAACACGAGGCCTACAGGGTCACACTGACCTCAGCCAGACAAATAAATTATTCTCTGCACACATTTAAATGGATCTGAGCTCAATTTTTTTGTATGCTGGTTCTTGCAACCCCTTTTGACACCCTGCATGCAAACTGTGCTGCCAAAGCGTCCCACTGCTCAAACAATTGGATGGTGGATGCTCATTTCATGTAAACCAGTAGTGGAAATTCCATATGACTATATTGGGGCCCAGAACGATCTATTTAGACAACCACTAATAATAAAATAATTATGTTTTTTTTATTTTCCTTCTACGTGACTTTACCGAAAGATCCAAGAATATGAATCCCTGCAGTCACGAATGCTTTAAATCGAAATTTAACCACTAATAACTTACCACAAAGTGTGACCTTATTATCAACCCCGGTTGATGGGCTTAGTCAACCCGCCAGTCGGGAAATAAACTTGCAATCTTCGGCTGTACTTCACATGCTTTGACATTAGCACCATCCAATATGTGTTTGTACGAGTACCCCAATATAATTAACATTTGTTCAAGTTGTAATCAATATTGTATTGCATTCAGAACAAATGCTTTTCGGCCAAACTGTATACAGCAATGTGTACAACTGATTACATACCAATTCAGCATGTGGCAACATCATACATGCATTAAAGTACTAAAAGAGGAAAAATATCAAAATATTCGACTGCAACTGGGAAAATAGTTCCCAAGAGCCTAACAGTTTGTTTAGCATGACCTCACCTCCTTCTTGTGCATTTGTGAAACCGTCTGTTGGTCAAGGAATGTTCCATTTCTTTCATCACCAGCCTGGGGAGTGAAGTCAGTGATACCAGCCGATTCACAGTTGTATAAATGGGCAATGGCACATCAAATAAAACCTTACCTGCACGGCAGTAGTGTACAAGTTTCAGAAGCTTCTCATTTTTGTCGACACAGTGGGCCATCATTCCAACGATTCAACAGGGTCACCAGAAGGAGAAAAATGTCTCTCCATGGGACAAATTTGACCTTGTAATGTAAATCAGTGCTACAATAAAGTGTATTGTAATTCTTTCATATGGATGCTCCCGTGCATTACGGAGCATGTTAATGAACTATATACACTGTGTAACAATTTTTTATTGATTTCTTGTTCCTGGGTAGTAAGTGTTATTTCCTCATTGCTTATACCTCAAAAGTAGAGAAAATGGCTATTATTCCCCGCAAACTTTGCTTTTGTGACCAGGACAGTGGTATTTAGAAATTTACCTATTTTCCAGAACATTCTAGGTAGATTCAGTGCTGAGCAAACTTGGAGTAACTTCTCGAACATTCTAGAACTTTCCAGTAATATAAATAGTAGTATAAATACAGGGACCTTAAGCTCGCCAGTTCAGTTTAGTTCCAGTGGATACATATCTGCATTTTTCTGAGATGGCATCAAGAGGCTGTAAGCATCCTACAGACTCATTTTGCTATGTCTGCGGCCAATTTATCAAGACAAGAGCGAAAAAGTAGTCTGTGGAAGCGTCTGCTAAGATAAGTGAGGCCTACAAGGCATATTTCGGCATGCCTGTCGGGGATCAAGACAAACCCTGGGCACCTCATTTCACCTGCGAGCAATGCAAAAAAACTCTGGAAGGTAAGATGGACAATTGTTGCTCGGAATTTTATAAAAATTTGTTAACAATTTTAAAATGGTAAAAGTTTATAATTTTAAAATGTTTTATAATTTTCAATGTTATTAAAAAAATATATGATATATGAAAAATGTTGCGAGAATCTCTTAAACATTAGTCATGGGTGAAATAAATGTATTTTTGTAGGATGGTACAGAGGGGAAAAGAGAGCCATGAAGTTCACTATCCCAATAATTTTGTGGGAACCATTGACCACTCAAGCAACTGCTACTTCTGCATGGTGAACCCTTGCAAACGTCACTGGCAAGAATGCACCTGCTATCACGTATCCGGACCTTTCTTCATCCATCGCCCGGGTGCCACACTGCCTTGAGCTCCCCGTACCCACTCCTCCGGAGAGAGAGCAGCCGTCTTTAGAAGAGAGCAGCAAGTCAGAGAGCGAGGAAGAAGTTGTAGATCCAGATGACAATTTCAGAGGTGGAGCTGAGGAGAGAAACCCGTACTACCCCAACCAAAAAGACCTCAACGACTTGATCAGAGATCTTGGTCTCACCAAGTCCAATGCCGAGATTTTGACATCTAGGCTCCAGCAGTGGAACTTGTTGGATGAAAGTGTGCAAGTCGCAGATCAGAGGAAGCATCACCAACCTTTTTGCAGCTTCTTCACCCGTCAAGATGGGCTCTGCTTCTGCCACAATGTTACCAGTCTGTTCGAGGCAATCGAAATCGCCTATAACCAGAATGAGGGGCGCCTCTTCATTGACAGCTCATCCAGGAGCCTCAAAAGCCGTGCTGCTCCATAATGGTAACATGTACCCGTCTCTTCCCCTAGCTCACTCGGTGTACCTCAAAGAGGATTACAACAGTATCAAGACCTTGCTGGATGCCTTGAATACGGCTGGGAGGTCATCGGAGACTTCAAAATGGTGGCATTCCTGATGGGTCTCCAAGGTGGTTTTACCAAGTTTCCCTGCTATCTTTGCCTTTGGGAAGCAGGGACACCAAGGCGCACTACCACAGGTGGAACTGGCCACAACGGACCGAGTTCTCTGTGGGGAGGAACACTGTCAAGTGGGAGCCACTGGTGGACCCCCGGAAGGTGCTGATGCCACCACTGCACATCAAATTGGGCCTTATGAAACAATTTGTCAGAGCTGTAGATAAGGAGTCGGCAGCCTTCAAGTACCTTCAAGACTTCTTCCCTAAGCTGTCTGAGGCAAAGGTCTTAGCCGGTGTCTTTGTCGGACCACAGATAAAGAAGATCCTGGAGTGCAATAAATTCCCCAAGAAACTCACTAGTAAGGAGAAAGTGGCTTGGGACAGCTTTGTTGCAGTGGTTCGTGGCTTCCTGGGCAATCACAAGGTCGAAAACTATGTGGAGCTGGTTGAGATTCCAGTGAAGAACTACAGCAAAATGGGCTGTTGGATGTCCCTCAAAGTCCATATCCTTGATGCTCATCTTGATAAATTCAAGGAGAACATGGGAGCTTACTCGGAGTAGCAAGGCGATCGCTTCCACCAGGATATACTGGACTTTGAACGCTGCTACCAAGGACAGTAGAATGAGAACATGATGGGAGACTACATTTGGGGGCTGATTCGTGAAAGTGATTTACAGCATAATAGTAAATCTCGAAAAACTACTCACTTCTAAATCTTTTGCAGTAATTTTTTTATTACTTTAGTATAAACACATGTCAATTTTGATTCATAAGTTGTTTTTTTTCTGACATTGTGAACGATAAGACACAAATTTGCCCGTTTTCTCATTGAAAATAGGTAAATTTCAAAATATCACTTTCCTGGTCACAAAAGCAATGTTTTTGGGGAATAATAGCCATTTTCTATCCTTTTTAAGCATAAGCAATTACAAAATAACACTACCCTGGAACAAAAACTGTGTTACATAGTGAGCTATCAATGATTAAATAATGTGACAGAAGTGGAATTTAAACAAATCAGCTTACAAATGGCAAAAAGGAACGATTAAATCATGAAGAATATAACTGTGCTTTCAATATTCTACCATCAACAATGCCATGGCATGAAACCTTGATAAATATTGTGTATGTAACAGCAGGCCTATGCACAAATAATATACAACAGCCCAAATATCTCTTGCACTAAAATCATATATTCATCATATCTACATTGATACGTGACATTGACATTGGAGCAGCATTAAAAAAAAAGGTTATGATGAATATATAACTGTTCACATTAAAATGGTGTCGGAAGCTATTTTGCAATTGTTCTGCTCCAGAAGTTTTGCTTTGAAGAGGGAATGGCAGGACCTTGTCCCAGCGGTACGCAGGGCTTGTAAGACCAACACAAAAGGAACGTTATTGCATTCAGGTGAGTTACTACACAGAAGAACAGTGTCCCCCAAGCTGGCTGATTTTATCACCCGATGAAAACCAACGTCAGGCAATCATCCATATCTTTACATTTTTGCAAAAAAGGCTATAATCATAATATGGAGTAGAGGGGGGGGGGGGGAGCTGGGTGTGCTTTTGAGCTCGTAACAAGTGGTGCCAGTGTGCGTAGCGAACTCTGAAAAATTAATCATCACATTGTGTCAATCATTGGACAACAGCGGCTCAACTCGACTCCAAAGTATCTTACCCCAAAACGGCTGTCAAGGTCACTGTCATCAGACGAGAGTCCAGTGTGATGGTCCTGTGCAACGAGAGGACGGAGCATTCATCATTCCATCGCCTGCACACGTTGTGCGTGTCAGAGTGCACCCGTTGGAAGCGCACGAGTGAAAATTCCACTGCTCATGAGTGCTCTGTCGTTGCATTGTGTTATTGTAGAGCATGCCAGTGCGTGTTGCAAGCATGCGTATAATTAACCATGGGCTGTCCTTTTGGTAATGACCGTTTTAATGTGCTGCTGTTTGCTTAAGTCCTCATATATTCATCTTCTTGGTTCTTTCGGTAAAGTCACGTAGAATGGAAATAATAAAATAATAAAAATAAACATAATAAAATAATTCTCACGACGTTTCGGCCACAACGCAAGCAGCTGTCCTCAGGTGAAGAACAGGTCTGTCGGAAAGACAGCGTCTGAATGACAGACCTGTTCTTCACCTGAGGACGGCTGCTTGCGTTGTGGCCGAAACGTCGTGAGAATTATTTTATTATGTTTTATTTTATTATTTTATTATTTCCCTTCTACGTGACTTTACCGAAAGAACCAAGAAGATGAATCCCTGCAGTCACGAAAGCTTTAAATCCACATATATTGTTCCTTGCTTTGTATTAAATTGTTCTAAATAAGGGACCCCGTGATGTTTTTGATTGGGCTTTCACCTGGCTTCATTATAGTCAACTTAAAATACCTGTACCATGTGGAGAACAGAATGGTGTTGTAGAAGAGAGGGCTGTAAGATTATCAGGCATTGTTGAACTCCCTCACATGTGTTCTATAGTATAATACAGCATCATTAACTCCAAACATGCATCACATCATCATTGTTTTATTCATAAGCTTCCATCCTGTTTCATTGCTTCTGTATATTTTGCTGTTGGGTGACACAAAGGAATTCATTACAATGGGCAGTGTTTGAAAACCTCTCTATTAGTAGAAGTGCATGACATTCCACATCCAATAATGTGCCCTAATGCAATGATGTATATGATCATTCCATTTAAGAATTCCACTTTATGTTACTTATAGTATACAATTATATGGTATTGCTTTGCGAATGCAGTTATGCCTTAGAATGTTTACTGAGCATTACAATTGTTAATTTGGTTGCGGTTGTTCAAGCAGTGTTTGTATTTAATGACACATTTTCCAAAACGCAAAATTAAGTTGTACGTTAAATAGAAAAATAAAACTATCATAAAAATATCAATCCTGTTCAAAAGACCATGTTCAACAATGTTGTAAGCTTGGCAGAGCTAAGCAATCAATTATAGATAACTGTAGGTAAAAAAATTATATGACCAGCAACTGTGAAATGAAAATGAATCTTTTATCCGTGGAGGTCTGTGTGTGACGTTCAAACGACCAATGGCATGACACTAGAAAGGAACAAAATTAAATTGTGCTCCTTTGAAGAGAGGTCTTTTTGCAACTGCTGTTTTAGTCCACGCTGCATTCCTTGCGTTTTAGAAGTAGAAAGAGCAATAGGCTTCCTTTGATGATATGTCTATCCAAACGTATTAGATTAATACTGTGTTATGAGTTTAAATATTTCTGGGGCACATCCAGCAAAGCTATTACATTTATCTGCCTCAGACTCCCTGGGTTGGGATTTTTTTTACATTTTACACTGACAGAATTATCATTTCTCTGGCAGAGCACCAGTGAGTTAATAGAAGAAGTAATCACCGTCGTTCATAACTTTGGAATTCATTCTGCAAGAGGGAAGTATTCATTGTGCCATAAAACTTTGTTGACATGCGGCATTCACAAGTACGCTTATTTGAAAACACATTTAGCTGATAGACATTCCTTCTAAATGAGCTTAAATTAGAAGTCTACTGTTTGATTTTCAAACCAAAGATAACATCCCCAATCTTACTGTTAATTAGAAGACACTTTAAAATGCAAAGGTTTATACAGCAACACCAACAAAAGGAGTGTGCAGGACTCAAACGCCAAATACAGACCACAAGGCCCTGCCCAGCAATGGACACGTGCAAGGTAAAGGAAAGAAATAAACACTGGATTTGGTCGCTAGGGGTATGGAGCTGCACAGCCCTGTATCAAAGACCCTCATCGGTGTAGCTTTACCGTAATTGGCCCACTTGACTCATAAATCATTACAAACAAAATATCACCACCTGTATCATTACAGCACTTCCTCAACTGCTCGGGGTTGTTCTAGGTTCATGAATCCTTGTGTTTGTATAATTTAAAATGCCAACGCTCATGTAGAAGGAAATTTTGGAACCAGGACTGGATCATTTTAGCATGTGGATTGTGCAGTGGCAGAGATGAATGTCACACAGGCAGTGTGACCCCCCCGCCCTGCCCACCCCCACACCAACCCCCCTACTAACCACCCCCGCGCCTTCAAATTAAAAATTAAAGTTTGCCGCTCATGTGCACTGCACTACCTCAATTCTACCGAATAAACCACTGGGATGTAACCCAGGACATAAGTATTCCACACACATCCTGAAAAAGACTCCATATGTGCAGTTTTTCTTCAAAAGCTATTCAACATTCATGCACGGATCAGCTGCCAATTGATATGCCACTTCAGAATAACAGTGAAATCCAGACGTCTAAGAATCGGTGGGCATTGAAATCCTGAGCCGTCGGTACCTCGAAGGGAATGGAGGTGAAAATAATGAAGCTATCATGCATGCGAACCACATACACCATTCTTACCTGAGTCCTCTTGAAGGATCTCTTCAGAACCGGCCCAAGGGTGGCACTTTGCTGCTGCCTGGAAGCTCCCTCATTTTCAGAACTTGTCCTATGGTACAACATATCTTAACATCAGTAGCAGGAATGTGTAGACTAGGGGAGTTAGAAAGAGGTCATGTTTTTTTACATTATTCAATAAACTATGGAGCCAGATGGTGATAATACTAGGATGCCTGACAGGGGTCAACTTCGCTTGTCATCTTTCTAAGGCTGATAAATTACACTCTTGTGGGAAATCAAGGGTGGTCATCTTATGAAATGACGGAAAGGAAAGTGGAATTCTGCTCCACTGTCTCAGGCCTGCCAATGGAGGTGAGTGCTACCCCAATTGCTTGTTTTGAGCAGGAAGACACTTTTACTTTCCAGCATTTTCAATAAATAGATCCAAGTAGTCTTCATAATCAACGTTTTTGGGTTTAATCGCGTTATTTATAAATGTGTCGTAACCCTCCACCACCCGACACGGCCAATCAGCAAAAAAGTGTCACGTTGACAAAAGACAAATAGTTCACTGCTTTAGCCCACCGGTGTGTTGAAGCGTGAATCAACAACATTTTACATTTTTTAGTACGTTTCGCTGGTAATTACATCCAGCATCATCGGGCAATTCTATAAATAACGCGATCTAACCCCACAAGTAGTCTGTTTTCCTATCACGGCGGTAGTTGCATTCCTGAAGAACACCGCGTTATGGAAAAATCACGTTATCATAAATAATATATTACAGGGTAAAGTACAGTCTGCAATAGCACGTGAGATGCGTATACAGGCTGAACAAAGAGTGAGGCGAGTGGGTAGCATCAAGAAGCATCCAGCAGCATCCCGCATGGTGTGATGCTACGCCGAGACAGCTGTACAACCGACTCGTGCGACGTAGTTCTGTTCACTCAAACGCGTTGTATCCAATTCGTATCCATGTCATGAAAAATGTGTTTCCAAATTGATTAATTGCGTTCCGTCCAATTTGCATTATGAAAACACGTGTTAATAGAGAACAGACTGGACTGTAATGGTCTTTAGCAAGCAAATTATGTTACGCATGTTGAGAGTGTTATTCTGTCGGAAAAAAGATGAAATCAGACCAATGTCTTTCCATATAATTAAAAAAAACATTTTAGATGATCAGTCTCTATGCCATTTCAACAAATACTTTCTAGACCAATCCTGAACCGGTATTTACTTTGAGTCTTGTCAGCAGCCTGATGAATGTTAAACAAATGCTATTGGGCTATGAAAAAAACTAATTGTAATGTCACTCATAATTGTGGGATAAAAAATAAGCTCATTAAAATATGGAAACACATTATAGTCCATCGGCCTATAAACCGTATGAACACTTGTTTAAGGGGGGGTGAACTGTAGACTGCTAAAAGTCGAAACCAGCATGAAGATTTGCCTACATAAACACATTCCTGCGGAGGGAGCTGGTAGGAACGTTGGGTTGCTCGGTCAATGGCCAGGGTCAACGGCGGCGTGGTGTATTCCGCAAATGTGCCCGGCGTGAGTAGGTTAAACGTTGAGTTTTATAAGGGCACCATGGGGTGACCAGCCCCTCCCCACCCAGCCCCACCCCTCCCACCCAGCCCTACCCCTCCCACCCAGCCCCACCCCTCCCACCCAGCCCCACCCCTCCCACCCCCCACCCAGCCCTACCCTCCCCACCCAGCCCCTTCCCACCCTTCCCACCCAGCCCCTCCTCACCCTCCCCACCCAGCCCCTCCCCACCCAGCCCCTCCCCACCCAGCCCCTCCCCACCCTCCCCTCCCCACCCAGCCCCTCCCCACCCTCCCCTCCCCACCCTCCCCTCCCCACCCAGCCCCTCCCTGCACGACGGACGGACACAATAATCCCCTGTGGGCTGGTGTAACCAGGAGGTTCCTACCAGTAACAAACCCTGCAGGGTTAAACAACAAAGCAAAATGTTTACAGGCTGATGGCCAATAATGTTATAATTTTTATCGGAGAGATAAACGTATATCTGTCGACATTTCATCATCGAAAATCCTCGAATGACAGTGAATGAGTTATTTTTATCCAGATTCATCTCCTTTGGGGCTCAAGTTGCCTCTACCCTGAAAAAGAGCATTGCAACTAAACAACCATTGTTAATTTTTCATGACACTTTTTTATTACGGTACCATCACTTGTTAGTGTATATGCCCATGATAAAGTGGCACTTTGGACTGCAAGTCATTAACAGTATTATATTTACACGTTATAATTTGGAGCATTGATATGTTCTGCTTTGCTGCTTGTGCAGTACTTCTACTTATTGCTATTGTGTCTTAATCGAATGTTTGTTATTTTAATACAATGCAATACTATTGGATGTACATACCATAGAGTCTAAATGCGACCGAATCTCAGCAAGCCGTATAGAAACAACAGTGAGAAGATATATTTTAAAATTGACAGTCACAGGCAGAGGAATAAGGAAGGTCCCGAGTGTGGACTTGGGGACAGGGACAGGGAGTCAATGACGTGGATTATTTGGGGAAAGGAATTCCAAACTACAGGAGCAGCAGAAGCTAAACGGTGACTCCGCACTGAGCGAAACTTGACTGGAGGCTTTGACAGAAAGCTTTGGAAGAGTACGTGGAAGGGAGCAGAGTGAGATGAGAGGGGAGAGGTAGACAGGGGCCAGTCCATGGATAACCTTTAACGGCTGCACTTGTTTGCTGTGTTATTGCTATTCTATTGGTATGCTATTCTGCTGAACTAAGTACTAACATAAAAGTTAAATATTTTTGCTATGAGTGAGGTTTTGGTCCTCAGCTTCAAAATAAATAAATAAACACAAATTGCTCAGATGAAACCAAAATCACTTTAGGAGGGTCCTACAGGAGGGTCATAAAATCTCTGTATGACCCTCCTGGTGCTACTTTTTGTACTTTTCACAATTTGTGAAAAAAAATTTGTCAGTGTCCATGCGTTTGATCCACATAACATAACTAGCAGTACACACAGATGGGAAACTCTACTTCTGACAATATTCTCTTTTTCGTTTACACGTTCAACTTTGCAAAAGTTAATTTTGTAACAATGTGTGTATTAAATTTCGATTTAAAGCTTTCGTGACTGCAGGGATTCATCTTCTTGGTTCGTTCGGTAAAGTCACGTAGAAGGGAAGTAATAAAATAATAAAAATAAAACATAAAATAATTCTCACGACGTTTCGGCCACAACGCAAGCAGCCGTCCTCAGGTGAAGACCAGGTCTGTTGGGGAGACCGCATCTGAATGAAACACCACCACACTTGGAGCGTATATTTAAGCTTGATATGCAAATTATTTTGTCAAGGCGCCCTTCCCCCCTTCCAACCCAGCTTAAATATACGCTCCAAGCGTGGTGGTGTTTCATTCAGACGCTGTCTCCCCGACAGACCTGGTCTTCACCTGATGATGGTTGCTTGTGTTGCAGTCGAAACGTCGTGAGAATTTTATTGTTTTATTTTTATTATTTTATTACTTCCCTTCGACGTGACTTTACCGAAAGAACCAAGAAAATGTGTGTATTGTTAAAATAGTTGTGAATCAATCTTATCACTAGTTGTACTGAACTTACTGCCGGTGGAAAAATCTCTCGACATTTGCTGATGACTAGGGGTGTAATGATTCCCCCCTCTCTGGTGCTTCAGAAAACTGTTGAGGTTAAGGGTCACGGTTCAACTCCAGAGTCGATTGTTTATTTTAACACAGCGGTAAATATAGTGACCTCTAACGCCTGGAAGGGTCACGTGTAACATCACTGCACACAACGTACAAGGATCGAAAAACAAAAGATTATAATTCGCGCATTTCTATGCATGAATGGTGAACTTAGGAATATACTTTAAACGATAAATACTCCTCACAGCTGCTGTTTTGTTTTGTTTATATATTTGCCTCCATTTCACAGCTCCACCTTCAATTTAGTCATGCAGTCTTTTTCATTTTACCTTTCAGCCACCCTTCTATTTTACTGGTATGAAGCCTCAACTGTCACCCCTCATAAAAGTATATTCCACGCACATCAGATTGTTTTCTCAATCATTGCTGTGAAAAAAGGGTTTTACAATTATTACCATGATTAGGGGAATTTGAAAGTTATTGTCCATATTTCAGACTTGTTAGAAGATAACCTGTCACGGGCTGACTCTTTGTAGTGGGACACTCACAACCTCCAAGACAGCTCGGAAATACTCTGGGGGTCAGAAATGTCTCACAGCAGGTTTGTAATTTGGGCATGACACCAACGCGTTGGTGGTCCATGCTGCACATTCTGTCACAAAAGATCTTACGGCACAGCGGGACATGTGGCATGGCCTGTCACAGAAGATACTGGGCTTATCGTCTGCTCTGAAGGACAGCACTTTCACATGAGCGTCCACTCTACCAATTTGGACGACACAAACCCTCAATCACACCTCAACCAAGGTGTGGGTTGATGCTCAAAATGCACAGTGGGGCTCATATCCAAGCTGGCTGCTGAAAAGTTTAAGGGTCATGGTTTAGGTCCCATCTTCAATTAAAACGCACTAGAAGAGTGGATGCTGAGGTTGGAGAATTAAAAAAATCACAACCATCATCAAAAGGGATAATGGTTAAAAACTTACAAATGGTATGGATGGCATCTTTATCTCCGTGGCTTACATATGAATGTGAGCACATAAAAACACCAGTTTTGTTGTGACCCAGACATACGGCACTCAGAATACCCAGGGATAGGAAGGCTATATCTGGTTTGGCTCACATTTGGCCTGCATTCCAGTCAAAGTGGACGTACTAAACAAAGAAGTACAGTTTATAAATAATGTGATCTTCTTTCCAATAAAATGCATATACTTCACGAAACAACATTTTTGTTTGAAATGTAAATAATTGGCCATTTTATTAGACACCTGAAAACTATTTACCCATAATATCACTCACCACTGATGTTATCTGTGGCTGGAAATCATGCTCATGTCAGCCAGTTTTACAGGGCAAGTGCGTTAACGACCGTGTCACCACTATGCCCTGATCAATGTAACATGAAAACAAATATCCGAATTTATGTTTTATAATCAAT